ATTAATAAGAGCTTAATAAGCTGAGGTATATAGTAAATACTAAGAATAAGATAATAATAGTAATAAGTAATATAATCTTAAAGATTTTTATTAAGCTTTTAAGTAATATATAAAGGGAAGTAATTAATTAAATAATTTAATAGGTTTCTATAAAGAATTTTAATTATTAATATTTTCTAGTAGTCCTACTTTAGGGAGACTAATTTATTATTTAAACTAAAAATTACTTAAGATTATATAATTAGAGTTTAACTTAGTTTTTTATTTCTAATTAGCTATAAAAACCAGATTAATATTACTTTCTTTCTTTTTTTTTTTTTTTTCAGGCTGGGGTTTATTTCTTTCTTTCTTTACTAGCTGTTAAAAACTAAATAAATATATAAATATATATCTTTAACCTTAAGAATTAAATCTTAATTAATTCTATAAATAAATATAATACAGTATTAATAGTACTATTTATACTGTATAAATAGCACTAAAATACAGTATAAATACAGTATTAATTATACTATTTATACTATATAGAAAAGATAATAGCCCCACTTATATTTGGAATCATTTTTAATTCCAAATTATTTTAACTTATAATCCGGATGCTTCGGAAAGTATAAGCATTTTAGGTATAAAAATTATACTAGGAAAAGGCTGCTTTTTTAGGCTTTTTTATGGTATATAATATGTCTCTATATCTTTGATGATTTCAAATCAAACCGCCTTTAATTTCAAATCAAAGACTTGATTTCAAAGCAGAATTACTCAGAATCCTCTGGACATTAGATGACAATAATAGTACCACTAAAAAGCTGCTTTTTTGGGCTTTTGAATAGTATACTTATTGTCCAGCTACAATAGCTAAATTTTGAGAAATTGTCTATAAAAAGCTAGATACCCTCTGGTAAATTCTGAACTTTTGGATATATTATTATTAGTATAATATATACTATTATATACTATTATATACTATTATATACTATTATATACTATTTTATACTATTATCCCTTATCTCTTATCTTATCCCTTATCTATATATTCTTTATAAGAATATCCTTTTATCTATAATTTATTCTATTCTTTTACTGCTGTATAACCTCTAATACTAGCTAATAGAAAAATCCCTCCTCTCTCTCTTTTAAGTATACCCTTCTAATTATCTCTAGTGGGATAATTACCTTACCCCTTTATAGAGTTTTAAGTAGTTTATACAGTCCCTAATATACTTAAGGGCAAGTAGGTACTGTATAGGGAGGTATTAAGTCGGGGCTTTTCAGTTTTTAGGGATAAAGGTTATCTAATTGGATACTTATAGCTACTAGAGTTAGAATTAGTAGGTTTCTTTAATAGAAAATACTATATTAAGTAGAATTAGTAGCTAGACCTACTGGAGCTATAAATTGGGAAGGTCTCGGGCAGGATCTTCTAGCTATAATATAAGTATTATCCTTCTAGTATCTTATTATCTTTTTTAATTAACAGTCTTTTAATCTATTCTTTAGGGATTTATTAAAGGTCTATTTAATTAAATAGTATTAGCTAAAAGAGCTATTTATTTTACCTGGCTATCTAATTTATCCGGACTCTAAATTTAATTTTATCTGACCTTTCTAATATAATACTATTGCAGTTATTACAGCTCTGCCTCTAGATAAGTTATGTATTCTTAGTATCCTCTACTTACTCCCTTACTTACTATTATTTTTTTTTAATATTAAATATAACTCTTATTATTTATTTTTACTATTTAAAATTACTATATAATATATTTAATAAGTAAGTAAAATAGATAAATAAATAAGATAAAAATCCCTTAACTTATATTCTTTTATTTAATTAATTAATTCTTAATACTTAGTATATTATAATTTAATTATAAGATAAATACTTTTATCTTTAAGCCTTTTAAAATAACCTAAATTTATATATTAATATACTATAAAGATTATATAGTTAATTATTATACTTTAAATTACTGGTAAAAAGTATCTAATTTTAATATAATACTATTTAAATTTATATAAGCTATTTAATTTAAAAGAAGAATTATTATTTATTTTATTTTTAATTTAAATTTATAAAATTCTCTTCTAGCTATATAATATAAAAAAATAACTAATTAATTACTTACTAATTATAATATACTATTAGTTAGTATATATTAAGCTTATAACTTTATTAAATAGTATTTAAATTTAAGATATATTTTTTTATAAATATAATTACTAAAAGCTAAATATAAAAATCTAATTATTATTTATAATTAATTTTAGCTTATAATAAATATAATTATAAATATAGTATTTAATTAAATAATATTTATAACTTTAATAAACTAGCTTTTTTATAGATATAATTATAAGTAAAATAATTATTATAAATATAAAAAATATTTAAAGTTAAAATTAATATAGCTTAAAAACTAAAAATAAATTATAATTATTAAATAATTAATATAAAAAGCTAAGTAATCTAGTTATTTATTATTAATATAAGTTAATATTATCTTATTAATTAATATTAAAAAGTAACCTCTAGGTAATTAAGCTATTATAATAACTTAAAATAACTAATTAATAATAAATTAATTTTAAGTAGCTTAAATATTTTAATTAATATATAATTAATTAATTAATTAATTTCTATTATTTTTTAATTTTTAATAACTATAAAAATTACTATTTATTAAATTTAAGAGATATTATAAGAAAAAGAAAATTATCTAGCTTTATATACTATTTATTTCTCTTATTTACTCTAGCCTCTTAATATTAGATACTTTAATATATTAAAGTAAGCTTATAATTAAAAATAAAATAATTAATTAGATATTTATAATTTATATTTTAAAGATTAAGTTCTTTCTAGCCTTTTATATAATATATAAGGCTATTATAATAAAAAGAAATATTAAAGGGCTTTTAAAAAAGCTAGTTTTATTTCTCTTAACTTAGAAATTATAATCTTAAAGCTTAATATTTAGCTATAGATACTAATATTAATTAAGAAGGTAGCTAAGCTATTAATCTTTTAGGCTTTAAGAATCTTAAAAACTATAATTAAGGCTAGATTTTAATTTAAATATCTTAAAAGCAAATTAAAAGATATTAAAGTAGCTCTTTAAAGTTAATTTTAAAGACTCTATAATTTTTATAAAAGAATAAAAGCAATTATATATTAAGTTACCTTATTAACTACTAAAAATAAAAACCTTTAAGAGGTAAATAAATACTAAGCTAATATTAAAAATAAAAAAAAAAATTATAAAAAAGAGAATTATAATAGTAAAAAGAGAAGATAAGTAATTAATTAAATAGATATAATATATAGATAGTAGCTAAATCTTTAAGGAGTAGTAGTTAAGAAAGATTATTAAATTAATATTTAGTATTATAGTATCTATAGTAAGCCTAGATATAATATAAGAATTATTAGGTAGTAATTAAATATTTAGGAAGAGTATAATAAGTAATTTTAATTAATTAAATAATTTATAGTATTTTTATTGTAATTTCTAGTAGGAAGATTAGAATTTTTATCTTACTTACTTATTAAATATATTAGCTTTAATTTATTTAATAATATTAAGTAAAGCTAAAAAAAAAAACTAAATAATAAGTTATTCTTAAAAAAAGCTATTTAAATAAAATTAATTATATTAAAAATTAATTATAATAAAATAAGTATTAAAAGAAAAGTTAATTTCTTAATAATAAAAAATATTAGTTTTTTTTATATTTAATAGCTTAAAATAAAATTACTATTTTAAGGTTATTAATTATAAATAGTAAAATTAAAGTTAAAGAAATTAAATAAAAGCTTTAAGTAAAAATTAATAAATAATAATCTTATTATTTAGCTACTATTTCTTTTAATATTAGGTATATTACTTATTATTTATTTTTACTATTTAAAATTATTATATAGCTTTAATTTATTAATAATATTAAATAAAGCTAAAAAAACTAAATATTATCTAAATATAAGCTTTTATTAATAGTAGCTATAATATTTATATTTTAACTAATATTATTTATATTTAAAGATTATATTTTTTATTTATAAAAATTAAGTTATAATACTTTAATAATTTTATTAAAGTAATTATATTTATTATTACATATAAAATAATAATAATAAACTTTAAAATTAAAAGTTATAAATAGATTTTTTTTATTTATATTATATAAAACTTAAAAAAAGAACTTTTTTTAAAAAAGCCTTAAATAAAATAAAATAATATAAAGCTTAGATTATCTTCTTCTATCTTGTCTAAAATCTATAGCAGTCGGGACTGGCAGGATACATACCTACATTTTTTCCTAACTAATTAGCAATGGATTACTTGGATTACCACTATAATCCAGTGGTTTAACATACGGATTAGAGTAACTTAGTATATTAACATAAGGAACTGGCTGTCGTTAGGACACCAGCCCCTTAGTTTCTAATATAACTTGGGTACCTCAATCTTATAACAGCTGTGTTTAATCTAAGGGATAAACTGAGTTAATAAAGTTTGTATTAATAGATAGGTTAGACATGTAACACTTTGCTGCGCTCAGTGTTACATCTAGTAATAGTTAATTAAAGTGATATTATAATATAGGGTAGGTCCAGGATGTGGGTGGTGTATGATTAAGTGGATTAGGACGTCGTAATAAGTAATGTAAGTTACGGTCTGGTAATAGTAGAAGAGTAGATTCAATGTAACTAAGTATGTTAACGGCTGATGGGCTATCCTTCTGCGAAAAAGCTAAATGAGTGTATGTTTACTGCGTGGGATCGCAGGTGATGCAGTGACCCGGGTCGTAGGATCAAACTGGTAATCCGGTGATCCATCGTTGATTGGTGAAAGAACAAGGTCATTGGGTGCGCTAAAAGTGGGTCCCTGAGGTCCTGCCGGTTGACCGCCTGGTCCCAACCTGGGTTGTGACAATAAGGAGGGCATCACGGTCATAGATATTGACGAGTGCATGATTGAATGAGCTCTCTGATGCTTAGATCAAGGCTGATGCTCCCCGATTAGGGGGCTCCAATTATCCCATTTGATGTATTCTTCGACAGTCGTCAAAAGATGTTCAGCGTTGATCTACGTTCTCCAGTGTTAGTTTTTTCTTTCTTGAATGGAGAGGGAATTACTAACATCCTTTGGGTGAAGCATCTCTGGGTTACTGCCGTCGTACCCGAGTTCTTCCAAGAACTCCCAGTTGTTGATCATGTGCTCCTTGGCATGCTCATCTCCTGGAATCAACTCAGCGAATTCATCCATTGTCACCTGCTTGATGCCCCCATCGCTGGCCAACTTTGTACCCAAGGTACGAGACCAAATCGCGAGGAAATCCTTATAGCTGATCATCTCGTTGTAAGCAAGCAGTCTCACCCCGGGCCGCACATCCTCGACGAGCTTCTTAACAAGCGGACCAGTGTCTCGCCGAGTCCAGACCCATGGCATCTTTTGGTGTCCGTCTCCAGTGCTGATATGATGGTAGCCGTCGGAATTAGTATCCTTCTGTAGCTCCATTGATGAGCGACGCCAGTTGTCGACGTAAAGGCCAACGTGGATAAAGCTAGCTTTGCCGCTTAACCCAGCACTAACCATGGCTGGGTTGTGGCGGACAAACTCCTCCACCGCGGCTTTACTATCGAAGTGCCAGACATGCTTGTGTTTGCCGCCTGATAGCTTCGTCGCGTCCGGCAAGCTACTATAAATAAACCGCTCCAAGGTTTTCTGTACCTCGGGTGCGGCAGCGGCGATGGCCATGTTCTTGCCGCGCTGCGTCTCCAACTCGGCACAGTACTGTTGGGCGATGATCCCGTGCTTCGCAGCCGCAGCTCTCACAACAGGGTCGTACAGAGGAGTCCAGAAATCCGTCATGGTGAAGATGGCGTGGGCACCGGCGAAGGCAGCTCGTAGAGTATCGATGTCATCCTGATCGGCTGTCACAAGCTCGACACCTCGAGCTGCCCATTCCTGAGCCGAAGACTTTGAGGGGTCCCGGGTGACAGCTCGAACTCGCCAGCTTGGGTCTAGCAAGAAGGTGTCTGCGACACTGCCACCTTGGTTGCCCGTGACGCCAACAATAACCACGAGTTTCGACATTCTGAAAGTGTAATGCAAGTAAAGATGAGCAGTGAATGCCTGATAGAGGGAATAGAAAGAAAGGATGAGAAACTGAACTTTATTTCACTACAATCCCCAAAGCGTTAGATGTAGTCAAAATCTTCGTCTTCGTAGCTGATTTTATAAGCTAAAAAAGCACAAGAGCCTGTCAGTCGAGGTTCTTAATAATTTTAAGTCGCAAGTTGCTAGCGGACTTCTCTGCTTCGTAGGCTAGAAAGTCCGCCTACGTCATACGACCGCGCCGTGAAAGCGGACTTTGTAAAAGTACGATGCATTTGTCAGCCGCAAAGCGAGTTCGAGTTCCTGCCCTGTGTGTGGCCTTTAACTATCCAGGCTAACTAACGGTCACGAATCGGACAAAGAAATACCGTAACAACTCAGTTAACTCCCCCAAGTAGCGCCTCCACTTTGTCTCCATATTTCCACTGTTAACCGCAAAAATTCGCAGAAGTATCCACAAGCAGCTGATTTCATTTGTCGCCCTATGTTTTTATGGGGGCCGCTACTTGGGCGAGATAACTGAATTTCTACGAGTACTTCCGCAAGCGAGCCCCAGCGTCACGAAGTCTAAAATCGCTCATGCAACTCTGACGACTCCGCAGCCTATCGCCTGGCCCTCCTAGCTCGTGGCATGAAATGAACAGAGTAGGAAGGTGTAAGCGCAGGATGTTCTTGTTTTGTAAGCAGCTGAGACCAAGTTCACTTATTGCACCTCTGACAGGGGTTATGTGGTTAGCCTGTGACAAGCCCGATTCTACCCACTGTACTCCGTACTCCGTACGTGTCAGAAGGTAGCGACCCAAGCAGGTAACAGCTTCTGATGACATTTCAACACGTCAAGTCAGGCTGAACGCCTGCGAAAAGGACCATCACTGCTCACCCGCAATCTCGATACGTGAGGAGAGTTACGCATGCAACTACTTACGCCACGTCTTTCTTGAGGAACGCGAATATAATCAGATGAGACTCCCTCCCGCAGATCAATATTCGGCAGTCAGGGAATTCAGAGAAGCCTCATAACCATTGTGTGACCGGCATAAGACAGTTGACGAGACACAAAGTACCCGAGAGTTTATGTAACATTAATCTCAATTTGAGTACCGCCGTCCCTTAGAATAGACGCCAAGAGAGTTAACATATCCATTCCGGCCTTAAACTATCCCCGTGGCTCGAAACGCCAGAAGGCGTTACGGCGATAGTGGTGAGACTTGGGTAACCATGTTAGGGCGGCATCTCAAGAAGCTTACAAATGCTCGGAGGAACTTTCACAATGCTTCTGGTTAAGTGTCAGGGCAGGGACGGGTCGAGAACTCTCCTAGCAGTCCCGTGGAGCATGGCAACGGTAGAATTGCTTCCCGGGTTTGTAAGCTTCGGTATCCAAACGCTCCCCGAAGAGCCGAGGGTGTTGCATCACAGCGGGGGTTGGTAGACCAAGCTAGGGGCAGACCCTTCCAGGGACAAGTTAGTTAGATCAGATCTTCGGGAGTGCAGGCTTCCCACTTGTTCGGGGTTTGTACGGTTCCCGGCTTGTGTACACGAGTCAGGCGCCTTAAGCAGACCGCCGACCGAGCGCCATGTTTATGGCTGCGGCGGACATGTCAGCTAGGTAAACTGCACCCTGCTGGTCACGGCTCCGCTGTCAGCTTTCACCTTAGATGGGTTTCTTGTCGAAAGGTAAGGTTGGGTTGTGCAGAGGTTATTGGGTTACCGCACATTGCATCTGACTGGAACCTTTGTATCGGAATTATTTATGGCTCCTCTGCTGCGGACTTTGGAAGCTGGTTTGTACGATAAAGTACGAATACGATGCGGAGTTTACCCCTGGTAGTCTTGACTCCCTTCCCGTGGCTGGCTGGAAGAGTTGATCGCGGGGTAGATACCTCCCCCTCCGATTTGATCAATAATTGCGCTTGCAGACAAGACCTTTTCCATGGTACGTGCTAGCTGGTCGCAGTTCTATTGGTCTCTCGTCCCCACCTCCACCTTCCACTAAATTCTAATCACTACCAATATATAAGTCCGAAAGATCCTCCTTCTCATTTTACATCTTTTGTTATATTACAGAGTATACCGTTTTAGTCGGCAGTTCTGGACTTTAGCCCTTCCGTGATATTTCGACACTATGGCGGCGACTGACTTTGCCACCTGTCCAGAGATTATGCCGGGACGGCCTAGGCGCTTCTTTCTTCAAATCCCAGAGCAGGACCTAACAGAATTCAGAGATCTGGTCAAACTCTCCAAGATTGGGCCAGCGACGTGGTGGAACAAGCAGAACGACCTCCAATTCGGCATTAGCCGTGAGTGGCTGGTCAAAGGAAAGGAAGCATGGCTTAATGTCTTTGACTGGCGCAAGCACGAGAAGCGTATCAATAGCTTCCCAAACTTCACGATTGATATCGACGATCCAGAAGCTGGAAGGCTTAACATCCACTTCCTTGCGCTGTTCTCCGCGAGGAATGATGCTACACCAATCATCTTCATGCACGGTTGGCCGGGCTCGTTTATCGAGTTCCTCTCGATGATGGATCTCTTGGTCAAGAGATATACGCCTGCAACGCTACCTTACCACATCATAGTTCCCTCTTTACCGGACTACGGATTCTCATCTGGTCCCAGTCACGACGTCGAACTAGATTTGGAGCAGGCCGCACGCATCATGAACCAATTGATGGTCGACCTTGGGTTTTCCAGCGGGTATGTTGCCCAAGGTGGCGATGTTGGTAGCTGGTTGGCACGACTGATGGCCTTACGATTCTCCGAATGTAAGGCGTTTCACCGTAAGTCATACTTGGGACTAGGGCAGTAAAGAGCATAGAGCTAAATCATTACAGTCAACGTTCTCAACTTAAATGCAACAGATCAAGTCAGCAGCATCGATAGTCTTCCTGTTGAAGAGCGGCAACACCTTGAACGATCAAAGGCATGGCAAAACACAAGTATGGCATATGCCATCGAACATGGTACTCGGCCTGCGACAATCGGACTCGTTCTTTCGTCGAATCCTCTTGCTACATTGGCTTGGTGAGCTTATATCGACAGTTAAGTGGTTAGCATAATTTGTACTAAACCTCCTGATAATTTAGGATTGGTGAGAAGCTCATCGATTGGGCTGACGATCAAGAACCACTCTCCCTTGATACAATCCTATTCATGGTCAGCTTTTACTGGTTTACATCTACCTTCCCCCGCAGCCTGTATCCATATAGAGCACAGGTGAATGCGCCCGGGGGACTCGAAGGCTTCCCTATCTCGAAGGAAAAGCCGCTTGGGTACTCGGCGTTTCCTTGCGAGCATTTCAGGCTGCCTAGAGTGTGGGCTGAGCAGGTTTATCCTAATCTTATGCTTTACAAGGCGCACTCCAAGGTATGCAGTCCCTTTTTGAAACACGTTCTCTCTTGTCCTGATAGGTATCCAGGGAGGACATTTCGCTGCTCTGGAGCAACCCACGGCCTTCTTGGAAGACATAGAGAAGTTTATTGGAAAGTTCAGGTCAAGTCTTACTACTAAGACTTAGAGGTGTTGTAAGGTCGAAGACCCGTCGTGGTGATGTGTCCTTGGGCTGGCTGGTCCTTGGATCGTCTAGTCTACAGGAACTGTCACATATCGGGAAATCGGATTTCAACGGTTATTGCGGAAGTGAAGCATTTACTTCATCATCATAGGTGCCAATCGCCACCTGCCTCGTCACCGGCCTCGTCACCAGCCTTGCTTTCCCTTCAATCAGGTCAATAGCTAGATAAAGCCAAAAGTCCCCGAGGCATCCGGAGCGTCTCGGCTGTCCGAGGTCATCCGAGGTCATCATCATTCTCTTCGTCTATAAGACTGACCCAAAGACCCTCATTAGAGAGGAAGAATATCAAGAGCTTCTCAAACATATGATCATTTCCATCTGCTAGATGCAACAGGAACGTTTCTCGATCTCTCGATACAATCACAACAAAAGGTTTTGAAAAAGTCCTCAGGATCATCTCCGTTTGGTCGTATCAACGATCTGTTGCTATGATCTTACGAACCAGCATCGTACAAGCTCGTCGGGGCGACCGACGGTTGCGCGACGATTTTCCGTACTGTTGGCGATCTTTGATGATGATCTTATTGGTGGGGTGTTGTCGCCCGTGCCCTTTTTCTGCTCCTGCCTCCCTGCTTCCCTTCGTCTAGCTTATGACCAATCTCGTCTTTATTTACAACCTATCAGGTAGCTTTCTACAAAGGAAAGCCTGCGCTCTGCATCGTGCCTCATCTCACCATTATCCTACCAACCGAATGATGGCATTGCACAAGGCAGTACCGAAGCCAGATCGGACAGTAGATGTAAGCGGGCATACTTGGTGACGTGGGCGGCTGTTTATCGACCCTAACAACAGGCTCGGGGTCTCGGGAATCAACTCCGTTGTAGAGTTGCTTAGTTGAAAGGCAGTCAAGACTTGGTAACTGGAGAAGTATATTTCCCATGTGGTGACGACGCTATTGTTAACAAGGCTGCGGTTCCCACTCCTTTTAACTTTATATTCTTTACCCTCCCTAACAACTAATCTACATCTATTTACCTAATCAGTCCCCTTATTAGGGACTTAATTAATCAGACGCTCTTCTGGCTCCCCTCCATCTCCATGCTGATAGCCGGAGACGCCATCTACAGCTATACCGTGTACTTGTGGCTTGCAGACCTGCTCTTACCAGCTTTAATGAAGATATGGCTTTCGACTCTAGACCTTATCGACCAGCTTGGCCCCAAGACCATCATTCCAGGCCACTCACTGACCCTCGATGTCTTTGGGCTTTCAGACGACCTGGAATACTCCAGGAGGTACATCAAGTTTTTCCAGGACGAAATCGAAGCCAAAGGCAAAGACTTCTTCACTCCCCAGGAGATCTCCGACAAGTTCAACGCCGAGTTTCCTGGTCTCGTCACTCCCAACTCTGCGACCTCGGCTACCCTTATCAATGTGACTGGCGAGGAGTTTGGTCGAGGAGGGACACGATTGGCCCGCAGCATTGATTTGACATCTTACGACGATGTCGAGCAGCTTGCGGGATGGGATCTGGATTAGAGCCTGCAAGGTAACCGAGCACGCTTCCAAAAACATACAGCTAGTTTCCGCCCTCGAGACTGGGTAGATAGACAATTCTTTCTGTACACTTAAACTTCACGTTTGAGCCTTTCTTCTTGTACTGCAGGATCGCATGTTGTCGTTAACCTTAACGATCTTCCACCGGCGCCACACATTTCGTTCTTACAGGCTTTAGTCGGAAAGACGTTAAGTTCCATATGGTAGACAGTTGAACTCGGACGTAGGCCCCAGGACGAGTTTCTCAATTCAATATCTAGGCAACAAGCGAGCGACGTGTGGGCCAAGCTGCATGGTCTGCCTCTGAAAAAGGAAGAATGGGGGGCGGGGAAGCGGGGAAGCGGGTGTTTTAACGTAAACCATTGTGGACAAAACCTTGTGGCAGGCTTGCCCGGGACAAGCTCCGAGCCTCCGATGTCTGGCCGTGAACATCCACAGGGCATCGATGTTCTCTTGTGACTGGAGCAGGAGGTTGTGCGGGGGGAGGTCGTCGCCAGGCGTCGGTTCACCCGTTCTCGAAGGTCAAAGCTTGTGGTAACTGGTCAACACGGCTGTTATTGGCTGGGCACCTCCTGGTTCTAATTAGATGATCAGCCTTCCCTCGAGTAAATCAATTTCTTTATGAAGGCTCACGTGGAGAGGGATCTATAACATCAGTGTCTTCAGATCAAATTCCTCTCAATATAATCTCCTAGCTTCTCAAGTCCATGAATAAGCACATCTGTCTCGCCAACATACCCCACTCTAACATATCCTCTAAAATCCTTGTCTCGTCCAAAACAATGAGATCCAGGGCAGAAGTATACATTTATCTTCTCAACGACGTCCTTACAGAACTCAACATCGTCTACTGGAGTCCCATTCTTGCTGAAGCGAATAAATGCCGTCGTGCCAGCCTTGGGTTCAACCCAAGAGCAAGCGGCACTATACCGCTCCACAAAGTCCTTTAAGATCCTTGCATTTGTTTGTGCTAACTTGATGTTGCGCTCCACGAGAGAAGGTTGCACCGCAGGCGACAATGCGTAACTCGCAACCTGGTCGTCTAATTGTGAGACGCAAATGGTTGTATAGTCGCGGGACGATGTCAATGCTTCCATGATGCTCTTATCTCTGCTAGCGATCCATCCGACGCGGAGGCCTGCTAATGCAAAGCCCTTGGACATAGAACCAGTTACGATTGTCCTTTCGTAGTCAAGGCACGTTGCTGGCACGGGCACCTCAACTTGACCCGAGGCTCCGCCGTGAAAAAGTGGGCGGTAAACTTCGTCCGAAAAGATGATAATGTTCTTTTCTTTTGCCATGTTGGCAATTTCCTGAAGGGTCCTTGTTGGGATGGAGATTCCAGTTGGATTGTTGGGGTTGTTGATGATAATCATCTGGCAGATACTAAGTCAGCCTGTTCAGCAAACGACCGTTCGATTAGCATACCTTGGTATTCTCCTTGATAAGTC